CATCTCCACTTACCAGGTGCTGCCTAGCAGGGGGGGTGATCCTCACTGCCCCTCCACTGCCCCATGCCATGTGGGGGACTGCCACGAGCCCCTCTACCCCCTCCCTGCTTCCCCTGTGCTTCCCATGGCTGCCCTGCCCACCCCAGCTCTGGCCCTTTAAAAAAAGAACCTGAAAAAACCCCTGGACTCCCCAGCTCCTGCAGTTTTGGGGGGCTCATGGAAGAGCCCCCCATGTGGTGTGGGCCTGTGGGGAGCAATGGCCATTTCTCCCCTCACCAGACACAAGCCGGTGATCCCAGGGTTTTTTGTTGAGCCAGAGCTGGGATGGGAAGGGCAGCCAAGGGGGGGCTGGAACAGCTGGGGGGGAGGTCTGCATGAGCCCCCTACACAGCGAAGGGCAGTGGGGGGCAGCGGGGATTGCCTCCTGCCTGGCAGCACCCAGTGAGTTGGGGCTTTTTTTTCCAAAGTGCCAGGAGCTGGGGCAGGTGGGGCAGCCATTGCCGGGGCTGGGAGAGCAGGCAGGGGATGTGCCTGGGTGATTTAGAGATTCAGCAGCAGCTGAATCTCTGAATCAGGTTCAGCCGAATCGATTCAAGACAGTGATTTTAATCACTGAATCAAATCTCTGTCCCCCGACTTGACCGAATTTGAATCCGAAGCGAATACTAGCCATTTCACGTAGGCCTAATAAACATCATGGGAAAGTAGGGCTGGAAGGGACCTTGGGAGGTCATCTACTCCAACCCCTTGCTTGAGGCAGGATCATCCCTATTCAAACCATCCTGTAGAAGTATTTGTTGAATCTATTCCTAAAGCTACCAACAACGCTGTTCACAACTACAAGGTGTCCTGCTCTCAGAATACCACAAGAACACCCTAATGTGCCACAAGGTAAAACAGTGGGCAAGGGTATCATAGAATCATAGAGACTTAGGGTTGGAAGGGACCTCAGGAGATCATCTAGTCCAACCCCCTACCCAAAGCAAAACCATCCCCAGCTAGATCATTCCAGCCAGGGTTTTGTTGAGATGGGCCTTAAAAACCTCCAAGGACCGAGATTCCACCACCTCTCTAGGTAACTTGTTCCAGTGCTTTATCACTCCTCTAGTAAGAGAGTTTTTCCTAACATTCAACCTGTGACCGCTGGGCCTCAAACATCCGGTTATGTGCGGCCTTGGTCCGAGTGGCCAATGGTGGTTGCCCCACAATTTCCAGTATGCCGTTGAGTAGGTGTTTACTCCCAGAGTGGCCTTCCCCAATCTCGCCTGCCACAACTTTGAATGTTACCTCAGTGGTGGGGTGACTACTCAGGGTCCCTCTGCAGTGTGGGGTCTGTCCGGCAGTTGCCTACGGGGCTCCACCTCCCCTATATCCTGACCTTATGCCACACCTCAATGGGTCACTGGGTCTTCCTGGCCACACTTCTGCTCTTGTTGCCTTTCGAGTTGCAGCAGCCTTGCTAGCCCCTCCCATCCAGGGCACAGGTTCCCGAGGCTGATTAGCTTGGTTAGCCTAGGGTTACTTGCGATCAGTAATCCCAGCCTCAAAACCTACTCCCTCCAGGGTATGACGCCTGATTGGTGCCTTAAACCAAAAAAGGCGAAGCCCATAAGAGCTCTGCCGCCGCTACCTCAGCCATGTTGCCTAATCCTACCCATCAACCCTTCCAAACGGAGGAAACACAAAGGAAAACACAAAATAATACTCTACTATGTTGTGAGGGGTCTGTGCAGCCCCTTCCTTGACCCCTACGCCAGGGTGCCAGGTGCCTTACTCCCTAAGACCTATCCAGGGGATGACCCCTACACAGGGCCGGGTACCTGTGGCCTCTTGCTCAGGTCATCTCTCCCATGTTATCCGGCTCTCCCTGGGATATGGCACTGCTCCTCTTCTCTTTCTTCAGTGGCGTCACTCTTTGGGTGCCTCGCAGCCCCTCTGTGTACGCCTGGTTGCTCCTTACATCCAGGGGTGGCACCCCGTCTCTGGTTACCTTACTTCATAGCCCTTCACGCTGCTCCTGCCTGGAACCTCTTGAAGGGGAAGTCTCCTCCACCTCCCAAGTGTCCCCGATGCTCCCACCTGATATGGTGTCAATCATCACATCCTCCTCTCCGCTCTTTTCACTGCTGCTGCCTTTGCCAACTGCAGGATCTTCTTCTGGCTTGTCCTTCACTCTGACGAGCCGTTTCCCACCGCTGCTGCCATGGTCAGCGTCAGGAGCCTCCTCTGGCTCTTCATCTGCCCCGACGAGCTGTCCTCCTGCCTCCCTGGGAGACTCCCGAGAGGCACCCTGTGGTGGTGCCCTCCTTGGGTCTGCTCTCCCTCCTTCCTTGTCTTCACTGGAGGTTTGTTTTATTCCCGCTGGCCAGTCATTGCCGGTGACGTCACCGGCCAGCTTCAGCTGTATGAAGGCGCGGCTGATGAGCCACGTGGGTTTCCTTCCCAGTTCCAGCTGCGCCACGGTTCCTGCTGCAGGTAAGTGTTTTTTTGTTCTATTTTTATGTTTATTTTCTTTTCCTTGTGTGGATTTTGTTCCCAGGGTTCCCCCTTTTTAGTTCGGGGTCCTTCCTCCCGCTCCCCCCCGGGACACAATCTAAACTTCCTTTGCTGCAACCTGAGACCATTGCTCATTGTTTTGTCATCTGCCACCACTGAGAATACTCCAGCTCCATCCTCTTTGGAACCACTCTTCAGGTAAGTAAACACTGCCATCAAATCCCCTCTCAGTCTTCTCTTCTGCAGACTAAATAAGCCCAGTTCCCTCAGCCTCTCCTCAGAAGTCATGTGCCCCAGCCCTTATAACTATTTTTCTTGCCCTCCGCTGGATTCTTTCCAACTTTTCCACATCCTTTCTGTAGCAGGGGCCCAAAACTGGTCACAGTACTCCAGATGTGGTCTCACCAGTGCAGACTAGAGGGGAATAATTACTTTCTTCAAACTGCTGGTAACACTCCTACTAATCTAGCCCAGTATGCTGTTAGCCTTCTTGGCAACAAGGGCACACTGTTTACTCATATCCAGCTTATTGTCCACTGTAACCCCCAGGTCCTTTTCTGCAGAGCTGCTGCTTAGCTAGTTGGTCCCGAGCCTGTAGCAGTGCATAGGATTCTTCCATCCTAAATGCAGGACTTTGCACTTGCCCTCATGAGATTTCTTTTGACGCAGTCCTCCAATTTGCCTAGACCACTCTGAATCCTAGCCCTACCCTCCAGAATATCTACTACTGTACCCAGCTTGGTGTCATCCATAAACTCGCTGAGGGTGCACTCCATCCCATCTTCTAGATCACTAATAAAGATATTGAACAAAACTGGCCCCAGAACCAATCCCTGGGACACTCCACTTGATAACAGCTGCCAACTAAACATTGAGCCATTGATCACTACCCATTGAGCCCAACGATCCAGCCAACTTTCTATCCACCTTACAGTTCATTCATCCAAGCCATACTTTCTTAACTTGAATGCAAGAATGCTGTTGGACAGCATATAAAAAACCTTGCTAAAGTCAAGGTATATCATGTTTACTGCTTTCCCCACATGCACAGAACCAGTCATCTCATCATAGAAGGCAATCAGATTGGTCAGGCATGATTTGCCCTTGGTAAATCCATGCTGACTGTTCCTGATCACTTT